TTTGAGATTATCACGTGACTTATAAAGGGGCTTCGAAGGTGTGTGTGTGTGTGTGTGTGTGTGTGTGTGTGTGTGTGTGTGTGTGTGTGTGTGTGTGTGTGTGTGTGTGTGTGTGTGTGTGTGTTGTGTGTGTGTGTGTGTTACACATCCGCCAGGGAACAATGGCAGCAAATCGGTGTATCATAATAGATGATATTTTATCATTGCATTTCTTTACGACATAATTCCAAGTAGCGATCGCCTCTCCGCGCTCCCCCCCCCTCCCACGCCCTCGGAGAACCGCCCCTGCCAGCGGAGGCAGGGATCGATCCGGGGCGCGACGGCCGAACCGACTTCGCGCCGCCGGACACATTGGGCCGGATGCGTGGCTGCGTCCGTTTGTCCGAGGGGAGTTCGGGGTCCGGTTTAGCGCGGTTTTATGCGGATCGTCGTGTCGTGTCTGGTTGTAGGCGCTACTTTGCAATCGCGAATAATACATAATGAGTACATAAATACATACAGACACACACGCACGCGCACGCGCAGGCGCTCACACGCACACACACATGTATACACACACACACATATATGTATACACACCATGTATGTATATATGTGTGTTTGTATACATACATACATACATATGTCTCTCTCTCTCCTCTCTCTCTCTCTCTCTCTCTCTCTCTCTCTCTCTCTCTCTCACTCTCTCTTCTTTCTTTCTTTCTTTCTTTCTTTTCTTCTTCTCTCTCTCTCTCTCTCTCTCTCTCTTCTCTCTCTCTCTATCTATATCTATATATATATATATATATATATATATATATATATATATATATATAGACGTTTACACACTCTTCTTCTCGTATCGGTGTTGCTTCCTATAAGGTTATAACTTTCTCGTCACCCGAAGGTCGGAAATCCTATAGAACAAGCAGGCGCTAGCAACATAAGGTTATTGTGTTCTAGTCAGGAAGCGCCAACGCAGGAAAGTGAAAGGGAGTGGGGGAGGAAGAGGGCACAAGTAAAATGTCGAATGTGTCCGTAATTCAACAATCTTGCTCTTTCTACTCTTGTCCTATCCGATCTCGCTCGTTTATGCATCACTCAATGAATACCTATTATAGTCATGGCGATCGAAATGATCAGACGCATAATTCTGGAGGCGTTCATACGTCCTCTGTATTTATGTATCGGCCAAGGGCTGAGTCTGTTTGCTCGCTCGCTCTGTTCTATTGGTCTTTTTCTCTGTTATTGCTCGGTGTGTGGTGAGCGCTCTGTTCAGAGCTTCTAACGTATGTTATGCGAATCTTTTTCTATGGCTCTGTTTATATGGCCTATCCACCTCTCTCCGTCCTCTCGGTACACTTCTCTCTCACTTATCTACTTTCGCATCTGTTCTTTCTTTAGGTATTCATTTGGTCTTCTTCATCTCTCTCGGGTTGCGCTCTGCCTCTGATTCTCTATCATACCGACTTCTTCTTCCTTGCATTCACTTCTTCACCCTCTCTCAACTAATCTCTCAACTTTTTCTTCTTCTCCGTCTCTCTTCTATCATGGCTCATATCTCTCTCAACCTCTACATCATCCTCCACTCCAACCTCTAAATCAACCTGCGCGTAAGTGATAGATTTAACTATTACATGTTCATATCAACTTAGTGCATGCGTTTGCGTATACTACCATACGCGGCTGTTTATCACAGCGTGTCCGTTACCGTGGTAAATGCGTACGCTCCTACAAGGTTGGCACCCTGCCACTTGATTACTCACCAAAAAATACTAGCAAGGCCACCTAAAATATCTTTTTAGAAATCCAAGAGTTATTGTACAAAGGGAGGGATATAAGGGAAGCAGAGGAAGCGGCCGATTTCGGACCTTCAGCCTAGTTCGTCACGGTACTTGGATTCTGCGAATTTACCTATAGAGGTAAGCTGCACAGGGCACTTTTGGGCTAAATCCCTTGGCGGAGGAACGCGTAACGTTTGGCGCTGGCTGACAGGATCGCCCGTGTCAGGAGCCCAGCTGACCCTCTGTCCGGGGATATATTCGTTCCATCTGCACAGTTGTTTTCAGTCTCTGTAGGCTTTATCTACTTCGGTCGGTGGCTGGGCACTCTATGATCATTTCTTCTCTGTCGTTTATTGAGTCGGTTTGTTCGTCAAACTATCTGTCTATCCGTAACTCAGTTCGTCTCTCTGTTGTCTCTTAGTCCACTCACCTCTTTGTCTCTCACTCTCCTTCTCACCGTCTCGATTCTTCTGTTTTATACTTTTTGTAACTGAATTATCTTACTCTCACTTTGTGTCTGTACGGTGTATCTTTTGGTTTCTGTCTATCTGTTCGCCCCACCCCACCTCTCTCTCTTTCTCCCCCCCCTACCCCCATCTCTCTCTGCCTCTCTCTCTCCCTCTACTCCCGATCCATCTCCACCTCTACCTCCACTCGGAGGCAGAAGGCCATGGACCCCTCTGGGCAGTCCCTCATTCTCTCTCTCTTCTCAGTCTCTCCCCAAGGCTTCTACAACCCCTTCAGTGTCTCCTCCTTGTCTGCATACTCACGCCGTTCAATGGTTTCCTTCTTCTTGGCGATCCTTCTCTCCTTCTTTTCCTTTGCCCTAGGCAGAGCTGCTAAACCTATACCTTTAGCCACCTCCTCTCTACCTCCAAAGGGTCAGCCATAGTCTTCTTGCCGCATCGTAGACATTCCAGCGCGCGGTCGCCCCCTGCCGCGGTCCTGTCTCGACGGTAGAAATGACATTCAAAGGCACTCTTTAACATCAAACAGGAAAGTCTTCTGTCATCCGGCCAACAAGAGGTAATCCATTTTCATATCCAAGGCCCATTTATTCTTAACAGAGAGATAAAAGTTTATCAACGGCAATGCAAGTCGCCTGGTTCTGCTGCATGCGAGATGCTTCTTACAACAAGCAGGCGCAGC